ACAACTCATTAAATAAATTTGTATGCTTTCTTGGTCTGTCTTAGGTCAATTTAATTCTCAGGCCCAGTGAACAACCCTGAGTAGAGGTAAAATTTTGCCTCCCGCACATTGGCAGGGCCAAGAAAGGCTGGGGAGGGCATTCCTGATGCCATCAGAGAAGGCGTGAGGACTCTTGCCTGGGCCACAGGGCTCACAGCTACACCCTTCCCCCACTGACTGAAGCTCTACCTCTGATATTTCAGTGTCCTCTTTTCAAACATGAGCACAATCCCAGGACTTTGTTAACTTGTTAAAATGACCAGACGCTATAACCCAAGTAAGGCACACAATACAGTCGGCCACATAACGATCAGTATTCTCCCTTCATGACACAAGGCCACTGTGGCTGCCCTTTTATTTCAGCCCCACCTTGGCATCAAATGTCTAAACAACCACTGGAAAAACAACAGAGGAAGAATGCACTGCCGGACTTCAGACTGGGGTTGTTCTAAGCTTTTGTAAGCCAGACTAGAGTCACCTTCCTGACAGCCTGTGCTCAGCCAGCATGAGGAGCTGGGCTGTGGGTTCACACTGGATGGAGGTCATTGCTGTCAACAGTTCTAGGGTTCCTCACCACTTGATCCCAACGAGGACCCCAATTTGGAAATCTGCCAGCCTGGACCTAGATCATCAGAGCTCCCTGAAGCAGAGGGCTGGTTTCCCTGAGATTCACCATGCCCTGACAGTGGTCTGATAGCCATGGCCACCACCAGGAAGCACTCCTTTACCTTTGAGTTAATTAACACTAGTTCTAATCTGGCCCCGGGTGCTATATTCTGGTTTCTAATAAAATGAGAGTTTATATCCATAAATTCCATTTGAAAGAGCTGAGTGAAGGAATTAAATCCAGTGGAAAGACCACAGGGGACAATAATGCCAAAGGAGACCAGTGATGGTCTTCGAATCACACTTGGTGTAGGTCACTGGAGGCATGTGTGTTAAGGAGATGTTGGGATCCAGACTTGTTCTTTGTTTCCTGTCTACCCTGTGGTGAACAGGCCTCCTATGTCACATGCCCCTACCAGGGTTTTTTTGTTTTGTTTTGTTTTGTTTTTTTGCCCTGAAACTGAGACAGAAGGAACCTTTTCTATATTTAGCTTCTTGTCAAAGGCATTTTATCACTCTCTGCTTCAGTTCCTGCCTTGGCTTCCCTAATGATGGACTACAACCTGTAAGCTTGCAAAACCCTTTCCTCCCCAAGTTGCTTTGGATAATAGCAACCAAGCTAGAGCACCTCTATTCAGTGTGTGTGTGTGTGTGTGTGTGTGTGTTTCACTACACTGTAGCCCAGGCTAGCTTCTGACTCCTGATCCTTCTGCTTTAGTCTCTTCAGCACTGAGATAACAGGTATGTGCCACCATGTCTGTACTCAGTATATTGCTACAGCTGAGTTCCTCTCATCACTGGGGGTGGGGCGCAGTCATGGTTCCCTGCCTTGGTTGGAAGGCCTCTTTCTATGTTGCTCCTGAGACTAGCTTTTGCTGGGCCCTTCTTGTCTGCTGACTCCATGGGGAGTTAAACATGTCTTCCTAGGACCCTTGACAGGCATAATAGCCCAAGTTCACTGAGCACGTCACATTAAATTGAGTTATCCTGTGAGGGCTGGAAGCCGCTGTACACCACACTGGCATCCATCAAAATTTCATTGCTTCCCAGGCCTGAGAGTGATCCTCAGGGCAGCAGAGGGATACAGGCAAGAAATACACCCAGCAGAGGCACTTGCCAAAGAGAATGGGCTGGACAACTAGAGCAGCACAGTATCCCAGGAGAGCACCAGAAAGCTCCTCATGACTCACTGGAACCCAGGGACACAGAAGACCATGCCCTGCTCCCTCAAAACAAGAGGCAGATGCAAAATCACTCTCCTGTGTCCTCTAACCCTCACCACCACCACTTTGCAAATTTCATGTCAATACAGACAGCCACAAACCAATCTAAGGGGATATCTGATGACTGTTATTAAAACAACTTTCTTCCCACTTACATAAATACATAATGCTTTATAGGAAGTGTAGAAAACCTAGAAAATCATTCAGAAGAAAAATTCAAAGTCATTTGAAAGGAATACATATGGCCTACATTTATGTAGCCAGTGTACAGTTTTTTATCCAACTCGGGGGCAGGCAAGGCGCTGGGAACCTTCTTAGACCTTAATGAAAGGGTAGAGAGTAACAGCAAACACTCAGATGTCTAGACTCAGGGCTCTGCCTTCAGGCTTTCTAAGGTTTTGAACTTTTTTGAAAAGAAATAATCCCAGCACCCGTTTCCTATGGATGAGGATAGACTCTAACATCACCTTAGAAGACCTGCAGTTTCCTAAATTTACGTGATCTACCAGCCATGTTTCAATATTCATAACCTAACAAAATCCTTGGAGCCAATCAAGGGTCTTTTTTCTTGTATCTCCTTCATTCTCACTGCAGTTTGAATGTGTCCCCCAAATTTATGTGTTAGAAACTTGACCCCCAGTGCAATGGTAGGAGGAAGGGGCTAACAGGGGGTGGGCAGGCATGAGGCAGAGTGAGCGGATTGATGAGGTTACTCTGGGAGTGTTAGTCATTGTTATAAAAAGAGGAGTTTCTCTCCCCTTTCTTTCTCTCGCCCATGTGATGCTTTCTATTATGGGATGGCACAATAAGAAGTTCCTTACCAGAAGTCAGCCTCTCACTTCAGGTGTCCCCACCACTAGAACAACGAGCCAGCATATCTCTGTACACTATAAATTATCCAGTCTCTCCTGTTGTGAGGGCAACACAAAACAGACTAAGGCGGCCCCCTGACTCTGGAACATTCCCATAGCCTTTACCTTTTACAATATTGACAGTGGTATAGAAACAGTCCACCTGACTCTATGCTATCAGATGTTCCCCGTGTTTAGATTAAGATAATATTTTCTTGGCCAAGTGTATTAGTTATTTTTTCTCAATGCTATGCCAAAGCACTGACAGAAGCAACTTGAGGGGAAGAGGTTTATTCTGGCTCACAATTCAGAGGGTGATGCGCATCATGGCTAGGAAGGCCTGATGGCTGCAGCAGCTTGCAGTGTGGCTTGTTCATGTTTTGGTGGACCAGGAAGCAGGACTGGAATCAGATTTGGCTGCGACCCTCAAGGCTTGTCCCTAGTAGCATACATCCAGCTGGGCCTCATGTCCCAAAGCTTCCATAACCCCCAAACATTGGACTTCTCATTCCCGTGGACTCAAGCACGTGTGCCTTTGGTCAGTCGACATTTCACCTTCAAACCCTAACAGTTGGATTGTTGCACAGGTGACCGCCCCCCATTACTGATGTTCATTTTGAATCTCAAAGTTTGTCCCAATTTCCCCATTTCACAATCACCCCCTCCACCCTCCTTGTTATCAATAAGGTCTGTGGTTAGAGTTTAAGAAATGCAAATATCCTAGTTGCCATAAAAAAAAAATCTCCTCTTAGATTTGCTATCTGCAGATGATTCTTGCCTGATCTAGCCTTTACCTATGCAGGCAACTAGAAGGAAGAAGGATGGACAGAGATGTATTTTGGAAGGCTCGAGGAGGGACAAACTGACTAATCTCATGTTTTACGGAGGCTAAAATACTTTGTTCTGGTGCATTTTCCAGAGTGAAAAGGTAACTATATGCTAAGAGGAAGCAGGGGACTGGGAGTGGTGGCACACTCAGGAGGAAGAGTGGTTAGAGAGGTGCTGTCATGTGTGGATGGGGGTTGAGTTGCACACTACAGAGAAGAGAGATCAAAGGATCAGGGAGAACACTGAGGACAGGCCCATCAGCTCCCATCTCTTCAAGGGCAGGTGAGGAGTCTATGACCTAGAGCAGTGGTTTCCTGGGCTGTCAGGAACATCTCTGTTCCAGGAATCCCTGAGAGTGATGCTGTTTCTCCTGCCACCCCAGTGCCACCTCCAGCTGGGGTGTTACTGCATGACCCATATGCATATGTATGTACAACTGCATGTGCATGCGTGTGGGGGGGCGGGGGAAATTAATTTCAGGAAGACCTAAAGCAACAATATATCCACTGGTGTTTCCCTTCCTGCAAGCAGTGAACTAATCTGTTGCATCCTGGGGGAGCACAGAGCACCCCCCCAACGCCAAGCAGGGGTTCCAGGGGAAAGTAGTCACAGCCCCTAGTGCTTTCCCAAGAGTAAAACGTCAGGGCTGTGCCTAAGGAGAAAGAAATGAGTGCTGGGCACACATCAACTAGGGGAAACCATCTGGCAGCTTCGTTCATTCACCCACTTAGTAGATATTTATTGAGAAACTACTATGCACCAGGCATGATGAGAAGGGCTGGGGTTTTAGAAGGCTTTCTGGGGCCTGTGGTCTGGGGTGGGGCAGAAACCTATCAACCCCTTGTCTTCCTGACTGCTTGGTCTCAGTCCAGTTCTGCCTGCTGACTGCCACCTCCTAAGACTCTGTTCAAAGCTCCCTACACCATTACTCCAGTCATTCCCCATCTGTGTGAAAACTAGACCACATATCTCACCATGAGGTAACTCTTTCGTCCCAAGGGACCCTGAGGCTTGGCATCTGCTTTGGGGGATGTCCCAAAGACCACACTATAAACTGTAATGTGGTCCAGCCCCTCTACATACAAAGTTCCTCGCATGTGATGGCAGGGTGTGGGGAGTCCAATTTGGCAAAGCAAGAGAGTACATGAGAGTTAGCAAAAGCTACCTCCAAAGTTCCACACCCCCTTGCCATGTGCCCAGCCCTGTTGCTATGATACCCTGCTTGTATCAGAGCCTCCATTCATGAAACATTCCCAGTCACATTAGTGTTGAAAATATATCGTAATGAAGATTAATAGGTAAGGTACAGCAGAAGGTGTCCACAGGGGGTAGAATGCCATCTTTCCCTGCTCAGTACTAGGGCCTCCCTGAGCTAAGCTGGTCAGTCTTCAGTTCAGCGTGCAATCCAGGACCCCAGACCCTTCAGAGGACATTTCTCTCAGCTGTGACTCACCGTGACTGGCAATTTTAGAAATGCATTGATGGCACGCCTTCTCCAGGCCAGCCGGCATGGTTCTTGCTCACTGACAAAGCCCTGGGGATCAAAAACAATTCATTAGGAAGATTGAGGGAAGCATTTACTGAGTACCAATAACTGCCTCTGTGTGTGCATGAGCTGTCTCCCACAGGGTGACATTGGTTAGCCTGGGAATCTGGGTGTTCTGTCAACACTGGTTTACCTGTAGACACAGCTGTGTTATTGGGACTGAAACACCCATCAGAGATGGGGACTAAAATTCCGAGAGGTTAAGAGGCTCACACAGTGATTGCCAGCCTGGAAGACATAAGGTCTGAAGTGGGAGAAAAATAGAGACTGCTTATTGAGCATCTACTCAATGCCAGGTGTCCTGTTAGCCTCTGGGTCATCTCATACATAATACAACAATGTCCCTCTATGAACTCTTTTACAGATGGAGCCCTAGAGCCAGAGCTGCCAACTGGTAGTGGTCAAAGTTAATCCAGGTCCTGCCCACATCCTGACACATAGTCCAGCTGCCTTCCTTCATACCACTGCTCCTGAAAGACCCAAGGCTGAAGGATAAGCATGAACTTAATCAGAGCATCCTGGACTAAGACTCAAGAGACCTAGCAGCCCTTTGACTTCAGACTTGCTGTGACCTGAGCAAATGTCTATTTAGCCCTCATAGGTCACGAACAGAAGCAAGAAATGATTTCATCCAAGACCAGCTTGGGGAACCAATGGCTTACAGAAGTATGGATGAGGGGTTACTTGCAGAAGCACAGGGAACCTTCAAACAGCTGCATCATCACAGAGCCCCACCCCACAGAGGCAACCTCCCTAAACCAGCACAGCAGTCACACCCTCTTCAGTGAAGCCCCCTCCTTCTGTGTAGTTTCACATTTTCCAGACCACAGGCAGCTTCAGTTATATGCAGCTGGGGGTGGGGGTCCAAAGGGAGTGGCTGGGGTCCCAGGTGAGAGTCTAATGATTCTCCTTGCTTTCTCTTTGTGTGTGGAAATATCAACAAGCCCTATGTTGTGATGGTCTCATACTGGTGACCATAACTGCTCTGATTTCAAGATGGGAATAGCCTGAGGATAGCGCTTATAGCAGGCTTTCTTGGGGCACAAGCTTCCCTTTCCTGTCAGTATTGAAGAATAATGTCCAAGACCTCCAGACTACTCTAACAAGTATACCTCTCATCACCACTCATCAAAGATGCTCTTTTTTTTTTTTTGCAACAGATGGAGATTATTACAGAATTCCACAACTGGACAAAAATAGAGAATAAGTGTCTATGACATGCCCAGCCCTAAGTGATGCACCTACAATGGAACCTCTATATCTAAGGCTTACAAAACATATCAGAACGGGGTTAGAGAGAATATTAATGCATCTCAACGCTCACCAGTGACGCTTCCTCATCCAGCAGAGGGTGATCAACACAGAAAGCTACAACTGGCCACAATGTAGAGAGTAAGAGACTGTAGAGTACATGTCCCTGGATAGGACTCCTATACTAAAACTCTGCCACCCAGGACTCAGGGACCATTTCAGAAAAGGGGTGGAATGACTGTAAGAGCCAGGGGTGCTGGATGACCCAAATAAACAGAGCTTTCCAGGCAGCTGGGAACTTGCTCATATGAACTTACAGCAATGGTGACATCATGCACAAGATCCATGCACACTCAAATCAGACAAAAACCCAGCATAAAACAGGAGAAATGGGTAAGAAGCCCCAACCTTAACTGAGGAACTATTGGGAGCTGATCACTGCTGGGTGAGGGAGAGTTGGTCTTTAAGGGAGCGATGCTAGGTAGGTTGACCAGGCTCCAGTGGATGAACTCACACCAAGGGACATCTGGGTACACAAACTTGACTCAATAGGCCTTAACATATATGACAGAACATATGAATTCTAGTGGGAAAACTATGAGGGGGTACAGGTAGGAGAGGGGTTCTAAATATGATTAAGATGTATTGTATGAAATGCACAAAAATTCAATAAAATATATATTGTAAAAAAGAGTAAGTCCAGCTACAATAATTAATTTAGGTCTCTCTCTCTCTCTCTCTCTCTCTCTCTCTCTCTCTCTGTTTTAATTAACTGTCTCACAATGACAAATGTCTTTAGCCACTAACTACAAATAACAGTAGAAGCAGAAAAACCAATGGTCTCCTTATTGAGAAAAATGTTGATCTAATGAGGCGACAGCCAACAGAGGAGGTTATTAGACTCTTCTTATAAATAAGGCTGCTCTTATTTATTTTCATAAACTGGAAGACAGATGAGAACTAAAAAAGAATGATGTGCTGTTTCCCTATCACACCTGGGAGAATGTTCCCTGAGAGGTTTTGCAAGAAGTGCTGAGCTTTGGCACCCAGCCACAGAGTGAAGACCGAGCTCCCACCAAGAACCTCAGGGGCTGGCTGGCACACTTGGTATCTTGTGTCTGCTTTTCTCATGAGGAATGGAACATTTACCCCAACACCTAGGATGCATTGGCAGAGACTCAACACTAGAGGATCTAAGTGTGGTGGGAAGGAAACAGCTAAGATGAGAATGTGAATGAGTGACGTGTTTTCAGAAGGCAACTTGTCACAGCCTACCACAGTCGCCATAGGCAGAGTGAGGATATATGATTTCATTTAAGTGGAAATGTCTACATACATGTGGAAATGCATAGGGAAAGCTCAGAGACACACCTAGCAAACCACTGTTTATAATCTGTCCTGTGGACAGAGGGACAGGGAAATAGGGACACAGGAATAGGGTATAAAGGAAAGAGCGGAGCCATGGGAAATATTTTCATTTCTGCCTTATATCTAGTACCGCCTGCATGAGCAGGTTTTACCTTCATAATTTAAAACTTATTAAGGGCTGAGGATGTAGTTCAGTGATGTGGCATTTGCTTAGCTTGAGACCCTGGGTTCAATTCCCAGTATTGCAAAGCATCACCACCTCCTTCTTATTCAAACCCTCCTAAAGTTCAAGAAACATTATTTGAAAATCAGCTTGTTTTCCAAAATTCCAGCATTTGAAAAAAAAAAAAAGGTAACTTCTAAGGGACACAGACAGAATTCACCTCCCTCAAAAAAGAGAGATGATGTGATTAAGAAGACTATTTAAAATTTTTTATTTTATGTGTTTGAGTGTTTTGCCTGCATGTACGTACGTAAATGCACCCATGTGTGCAATACCTGTAGAGGCTAGAAGAGGGTATCAGATCTACTGGAACTGGAGTTATAGGTGGTTGTTAACCTCCATGTGGTTCTGGGAACTAAACCCAGGTCCTCTGCAAGAGCAGTCAGTGCTCCTAACTGCTGAGCCATTTCTCTATCCCCAAGAATTTTTCTCTTTCAAAATACTTTCTTTAAAATTACAAAAGTAGCCAAGTGTGGTGGTGTACATTTGTAAAATCAGCTACTTGGAAGCTGAGGCAAGAGGATCATAAATTCAAGGGGAGTCTAAGCAACTTAGCAAAACCTTTTATCTCAAAAAAAAAAAGTAGCTCAGTTTATGTTGGATTGGGGATAAAATTGGTGGGATGCTTGCATAGCATGCATGAGACACTTTGGGTGAAGTCCTCAGCACTGCCTAAGTCTGGTGTGGTGGCATACACTTGTAATTAGCACTGGGAAGTTCAAAGTCATCCTCAGCCACATAGCAAGTTTGAGGCTAGCCTAGACTGCATGAAACCCTGAATCAAAAAAATAAAGATGAAAAAGGTAAAAAATACACTTACTTTGGGCCACAGGTCAGTTGAGGAGCCTGGCTGAATGCACAGGGCCATGGGTTTGACCCCAGCTCTGTATGTAAACCTGCTGTATTAGTTACATTTCTGTTGCTGTGATAAAACATCACAACCAAGGCCACTTATAGAAGGAAGAGTTTATTTGGCTTTATAGCTCCAGAGGGAGAGTCCACAATGGCAGGGGGAGGCATGGCAGCAGAAGGCAGCTAGAGCAGAAAGCTGAGTGATCACATCTTCAAACAGGCACAGGAAGCAGAGAGAAACTGGAAATCTGGCAAGGCTTAAGAGTTCTCAAAGCCTGCCCCCTGTGACGTGCTTCCTCTAGCATGGCCGCCCCTCCTAAAGGTTCCAGGGCCTTCCCCTTATAGAGCCATGAACTGGAACTGACCGAATGCCCAAATACTTGGAGCCTTTTGGGGACACTTATTCAAACCACCACACCTATGTATGCACATACACCCTTTAGATGGCTGCAGACATCAGGGATGCAAACGCATCTTGACATAATGCTTTGCTACCATGTGATCTGTATGCTGTTGTTTTCAATGCTGTGTCATGTTCCACAGGGCAGGCTCTGCCATACCGTACTTGACCGTGTCTTCTCCGGCATTCACTTTCCATTTTTCACTACTGCTGTTATAATCTTGATGAACAGCTTTCCATGAAAATCGCTTTCTTTACTATTATCGTATAGCTCTAGAATAATTAGGTATGGGATTACAGAATTAAAATCATGATTATTGTTACTATTTTGGCTTTTAAGATGAAATTTCCAAAGGCATAGTATCCATCCACAACACCACTAGCTATGCATGGCAATGCCCATTTCTCTACACCCTCAACAGCACCAGGTATTTACCAAGTCTAAAGTTTTTTTATTATTTTTATGGACAAGAACAGTTTGTTGTTTCAATTTTTATATGAAAAACCATACATTCTTCTGTGCATGTTTCCTTGCTGTATGTTCTCCTTTGTGAATTATTTTTATGACCTTTGATATGAATTTATTTCAATTCAAGGCAAAAACAAATATATTTTGAATGCCAAGCCCATAGCAAAAACTGCAGTTTAAGAAACTGGCTGTCTGCTTTCTTATTCATAGAACTTGCTGTGTGATTTTACAGATTTAAATATGCAAAGTCCTACTCACTATTAAGGTAGGAACTTGAAAAACACACAAACCTCAGTTGCACAGTCCCAGACTTATCAACTAGAAGCCCTTCTAAGAGAATACAGGTTCCCCCACCCCTGGCCCCAAGCCACAGAGTGTCCTATACCATGATTCTGAGCTGGC